GGCTGGGGAATTCTGGGAGTTAAAGTCCACACATCTTAGAGTTGTCAAGGTTGAGAAACACGGCTATATTGTGAGGCAACCAGAGTTGCTTTGGAGTCGGGTGGCACCTAAATCAAATAAATTAAATGAATGACCCTAGGATCAAAGCCCCACCCTTTGGACATGTGACATTGACACACACACAAGTGGCGCTTTGACTGCATGGCCATGACCGTCCTCTTGAATTTTCTGATATCCCTGGCACAAAACTCATTTCAGAAATGCCAGAAATTCACGAAGTGTCTGAAGGGCATTACGTGTTGATATTTCTTTTATTTATCATGTTTGGACACTGCTCTAATCAGGGACAACTTCCGGCAGTTTACAACAATCAAAGCAACATAAATGACCAAACCTACAATAAAACACTTGTAAAAAAATAGCACGAAATGGCTGAAAACAGCTCTAGGAACTGTAGATAAATTAAAAAAAAAATAAAATAAAAAGGCAGTTGCCAACCCACCAAACCCCATGAAAGGCCCTACAGAAAAAATTGTTTTAACAGCCCTAAGGGACGATGCCATGGAAGGTGCCAACTGAGCTTCTGGGGGGAGACTGTTCCACGCTGGAGGCCACATGCAAAGCCACCTTTCTGGCTTTTACCCCCTCAACTGGGAAGAGTGCACAGAATGGGCTGGTTCCATTGCAGGAGGTGGCCTTGAAGATATCTAGCAGCTGAGTCAAGAGGCCTTAAAGCAGTGTTGTCCAAACTTGGCCACTTTAAGATGAGTGGACTTCAACTCCCAGAGTTCCCCAGCCAGCACGCTGGCTGAGGAATTCTGGGAGTTGAAGTCCACACACCTAAAAGTGGCTAAGGTTGAGAAACACTGACATAAAGCACATTGCAATAGTCTAGTCTACTTGTGATGAGAACATGAACACCGAGGCCCAGGCCTCCTACTCCCAGTAGGATTGCAACTGAGCAAATGAGTCCAGGAGGATTCTCAAGTCATAGACCAGTACACTTCAGAGGAGTGATATGCCTCTGCATATCAGCAAGCGTTTTCAAATGTTTCCAGGTCATGGCACCTGCTGCTTATTAAAAAAAAAATAGACCTGATTAAGAGGCTTGAGGCTTCTGAATATCAGCTGACAAGCCCCACCTTTCCCACATTACCTTAGTGATGAAGGGGGGGGGAAATAACTCTCCACAAGGGACTAAGTTTTTCCCTCTTGGTCCCAGGGAACCCATTCAAGTCCTTGGGGATCTCTAGGGCTCCACAGAGCTCAGTTTGAAAAACCCTGAGTTAGAGAACCAGATGTTACCTAGAGAAGCAGCAACTACCTTTTGCTAGCATTCAGAAATCCCATCTGTTCTCATAGAAAGGTATAACGTACCTTAACTGTCTATATCAGGGGTCGGCAAAGTACAGCCCACGGGTCAAATCTGCCCCACCTGTTTTTGTATGGCCTGCAAGCTAAGAAGGCAGGCAGGTGGCAGATTGTCAGGCACAGGCTCCCAGGGTGAGGAGTGGGCCAAAAGTGGGGCATCCTATCATTGCTGGTGGGCTGGCACTATCCAATGGCTGCTGTGCCCCTCGGCTTGCCAACCTGCCAGATGCACCCACAGAAACAGAGGAGGGGCAGGATCCGGCCCTTTACAGAAAAAAACTGCTGACTCCTGGTGTATAGGGAACCTAGTTATTCATTTAGAAAAATGGCTTGAGGAAGAATATCCAGAACCAAGAATGCCCTGCTCCAGATCAGAGAGTTGCCAGATTTCAAGAGTCTCCGATATTGAGTAGATTCTGAAAAGGGAAATATCCTGAATTAGGAAAGCAGAAGAACTTACAGAACTGCCACTTGATTGCTAGCGAAGGCTGTAACGGCACTGAAAATCAGTTGTGGTCCCTATGCTGACTGCTGCTTTAGGAAAAGCCAAATTAAACCGCCCAGACTCGCTGCGAGTTTGGTGGCCTATAAATTTAATAAATAATTTTTTTAAAAAATGAACAGAACTGCAGAACTGCTCCACTTACACTGCCCGGATGCCAGGGTGGCACTCCTGCCCTGTCAGCCAACTACCCACAAACTCCAACCACCATCCTCAGCCCATAAAGTTTTATTTATCACGTAGGAAGCCCCGGAATGCATCAAACACACATCTTTCAATTCTACAACGGTAACAGAAAGGGAGAGAGGAAACAAGGAAAAAAGCACAAAACACACCACACCAAACCCTGATGAGCGTGGGACCCAACTAACCAGCTGACGCTGTACCAAAAGGAATAAAACCGGGACGCGTCAGCACTGGAACCGTGCCGGGAGGGCGCGTTTCCTTTTCAGGCGAGCGCTTCTGTCCGACAAGCTGCCCTGGGAAGGGGGAGGAAGCGAAGGAGCCGCCGGGTTCTGGCACGGCTCCGTTGAGACTTGTGACTCTGTTGATCCTTCAGAGTGGGATGTTTTGGAAGGTGGGGGGGAGCCCTGGATAGAAGAAGTAAGGACGGGCAGAGATGCAGCCGTGCGGCCCTTGCACACGATGGACAAGACATCCTGCAGAATTCCAGTCCGGCTCGAGTGCCGAGTCTGGAGTTCCCATCCCTTCTCGCGCAAGTAGCCTTCCAGCTTCTCCACAGCCTTCCTCTCGCACTCTTCCCACGCCTTCTCTATTTCACTAGAGGGTACGGGATCAGCCCTGTAGGCTGGGCCCCTGAGAGTGCTTCCCCCTGCAGAGTCCGCAATCGCTCCACGGGCTTGGCCAACGTCCGGTCTCCTTTCCCGCCGGGGCTTGTAGACGTTTCTCACCCGTTCAGTGCTGGTCAGCGGTGGCTTCTGGCATCCTGTGGGGAGGAGAGGGCAAACACAGGAGTCTTAAGGGATGAAGTTCAGAGCTCAGACAGAGACTCATATTTGTGCATGCAAGCGCCCGCCCTTTGCTGGCCTTTTTTAAGGAAAAATAGGTTTCTCAGGTGGGATCATTCAACGCAGCTTCTTCCTTTGGGTTTTTAAAGAGGAACGTGTGGCAAGGCTACCGTGGGAAGAATCCGGCAGAGGTGGAAGAGCCTCTGGGACAACCAGCATGGAAACGGCTGCAATTTCATTTACAGGAAGGGCAAAACCTAAACAGGATGAGAAATTTATAGTCTCGTAGCTTGGAAAGTCTTGAAATAAATAAGATGGGTTGCACTAAATTGGGGAAAGGCCTAATGTTGCCCCCCAGATGTTTCAGATCTGCGTTTCCATCAGCCCAAGACAGCAAAGTTGATGAAAGGAGATGATGGAAACAGTCACTTAAAAATCCTGTTGGCTATCTCTGAATTAAGATTAGAGCAAAGATAAACATATGTTTTATTTTAAGAGGGGCTGGGGCTACTCTATTTTTTTTAATAGATAGATAGATAGATAGATAGATAGATAGATAGATAGATAGATAGATAGATAGATAGATAGATAGATAGATATAAAAATTTGCCACTGCCCAAGTCTAGAG